TGCAAATTTTCTCATTCTCCGTGTCGTCGAAACTTTCAACCTTTCACTATTTCTAGTAGCCTTCACTACTTCTAGCAGTCCAAAAGCGTATTCATCGACTGCTGGTTCAGAGATCGGAAAATAAGAATGCGAGAGAGAGGAATATAAGAAATAATGCGAAACGTATGAATTGAAAGCTGTCTGAACCTTTGGTCGTTTAATTCCAACCAATCTGAAATAAAAAGCTTCCATTCGAGCTTTTTTGCCACTTTAACAATTCGGTACATCGCCTTGTTCTTCACTTTATCGATGGCATACATCATTTGGTTGAACCTTCTGCTATGCATCGCTTCAGTTCAGAATATTCCAGGTGACTTCCATTGGGTATTATTAGGCAATAAGAATGAGAATATGAAAACGAAAACGGATTTCGTAGTATCGCAATCAGTTATTTTGCGATTATAGGTAACATTAACACTAATATTTTCATTCGAAACATGTGCAAAAACGAGCGAACAGAATTTTGTGATCTAAGTTAATCAAAATGCGATGTGACAAGTTTATTTCATGGCACTGATATTTTCATCATTATTTTTCAAATTGAGTCAAATAATTACTAAATAAAGCAATAGAAGAAGTAGATATAAACACAAATATCACAACAGTTGTTTTCCAGATGTGAAAAAGCACAAATATCCAGATGTCAACTGCAATGAGACTACATGGGACAACCAATGTTTAGAACATCGCCAAAAACACAGCGAACCATCACCTATTCATCACAAGCAGCCCGGCAGTGGAAAAGAAATCCGCAATCATGCATCATCATTTTCTGCCCAAAGGGAAGTGGATCAACCTAAATTTATATGCGAAAAGTGTGGTTCTTCCTTCAACCACATGAGTTCACTGCTTAGACACAAGAAACAAAGGTGCAGAGCTTCTCGTGAGTTTTGCGCGAGTTTCACTCTATGTCAACATTATTTCGGAATTCAAGTTAGTCGAAATGTAGTTAGACAGGCTCAATCAACGATGCTGACACAGTCATTTTTCGAATTATATTCGTTAATTAACATATAAAATGGATTTGTAAACACAAACGGCATATCAGTTTTTCAGATGGGCAAAAATATGAATGTCGTTATTGTAACGCGACTATGCTGATATATAAGGAATATTTAGAACATCTTAAAAGGCACGAGAAATATCGCTGCACTTATCCCGAATGTGGAAGGGAATTCCACTCCTCAGTGGGATTTCGACAGCATTACGGAATCCATCAACCTAAACTTCTCTGTGAAAATTGCGGCAAATTCATTTCTCTTACGTCTGGACTGCAAAATCACAAGAGAAAATACCACGGAGTTAGAGGTTAGCTTCGCTTGATTTATATTTAGCAAAAGATCTTTTCAGCATGTTAACGAGAAAATGTTTGTTCACAAAACACTTATGAGAGTGAAGTGGCAATTCAAAATTTCTATGCTCACTGCAACATTTTTCTGACCTCAATAGATAGCTGCTTGTCATTTATCGCTTGGTGTTTGGCAGTTACTGATGTGGTAATGAAAGGAGTGACGGAATTCAAGCAATTAGCATCCTTACAGCCCGATGAATTTAAAATGCGTTGACAATGGTGAGAATAATGTCATCAATGATGTATCAGAAAAACTGAAAAATGGAATTAGGATTTTGAACATTCCATTGTATTCTTTTCCACGTTTTTTTTCATGGGATTTTTAACTCAAGAGAAGAATGACAGAAGTGTGGGAAAAAAGTACGTTATTCGTTCTATGAAACCAAACGGCCATCAACCGCTCACTTCGTTTGACTGAATAAGGTGATATTTAAGAAACGTTCATTCTAGCCCCAACGTAAGGAGATCCACAAGTCGGAGCATATTTTGGTAGACACATGAAACCATCTCGGATTATGTCAACAAGATCATTAGGACAATGAGTGCTCCTCAGAAAACTTTAACATCCGCGACAACTTGGATTTAACACTTATTGCCTCAGAGACGAATATATATAAAATAAATCGGGAATTACTAATGGGCAACTACCGGGAGCAAGTAGTAAAGAATTATATAATGTTATATCTTTTTAATACGTCCAGTTTAGTACCTTCATTCAATTGGATGAAGTCGAAAGTGCAGGCAGTAATTAATCTAGGATCAAAACTGTCCTCTCTTACACTAAAAAATTCACAACCATCCGTTGAACGACATTCCATCAGATGTAACATAATGATTCTGTCACAGATATATGCAAAAAAGTGAATGTTTTCGCGTATTCTAAATTAATTAGAATATGAAGCTTGTTTTGTTGGCTCTGATATCTTCATGATCAGTTTCCAAATTGAATCAATTATTTACCAAATGAAGTGATAAAAAGGCTAGTTTCAAATACAAATGTCACAACAGTTGTTTTTCAGATATGAAAATGTATGAGTGTCCACATCCCGATTGTAATGCGACCATGCGTGGCAAAAGGGAATATGACGAACATTTCAAAACGCACCCTAAACCATTTCGCTATCAATGCAAACATCCCGATTGTGGAAAAGAGTTTCACCAATCATCATTATTTTTCCAGCACAAGAAATTCTGTCAGCACAAATCTAAGAGTAAAAACTTCAGTTTTAAGCAATCACTGAGAAGACAAAATAAATATTCCGTTGAACATCACAGTTTTGCAAATTCAGCAGGGTTTTTAGCATTTATTTATCTACCTCTAATGAAATCCCGTGAAAATATGTTACGAAATATCTGTGACCGTGAGTCACTTCCTTTGGCACAATACAGTGACATCTAAGAAATTTTCATTCTAGGCCAAACGGAAGATAATCCGCAGTTGGGACATACTTTGGCAGACACACGAAATCATCACATTGCCGGTCAAAGTTCAGTGGGCCAACAAGATCGCTCAAGTAACGAATATCCCTTAGAAAAGTTCAACATCATCGACGACCTAGATGGTAGCATCTTCGACGATCTTAACATCCCCGACGATGTTGTTGTTGAGATCGAAGATATTAACATCGACGATAGTGACATCTTCGATGGTGTTGTTTTTAATGAATGAATGAATGCTCGCCCATATATTGCGTATTATTTATTTGTCATTCCAAAATATTTCGAAAGTGAAAAAAAAAATGGAAAAGCAGCTAACAATGGTTAGCAATGCTAACAACTTGTTGTTTTTGAGATTTTTTTTAGGCTGCTGATCACATCAATATTTGTTGAATCATGAAATATATGTCCGCATATTTCTTCACTATCGGTACTCCCACAAATTTGATTTACCGGCTTAATTGCTAGCAATGATAAGGTAGTTTAGCACCCAAAATTTACTTAAATGCGTTAATACCCACATATTCACAATAGTGTCACAACAATACATCGAAACTTACCAATCAACACAAAAAATACCTCTAAAATAAACAAGTCAAACAATGGAAAATAAAATGCTGTCACAATTGAAGCATTTAAACTACAGAAGATATGTGCTCGAAAATCTACAATTTAATGTTATTTTAAAACAAAATCCCATTAACATATCTGTCTAATCGACGATCAAATTTAGTTATGCAGGTGTTAATCAGTTAGCGCAAATGAAAACCTGAGGATAAAACTTGTCATCCAGGTGTATCAACCGGAATAAAACGGAAATTTTACAAAATGATTCTGAGATGATAAAACTTGGCATAATATTTTTGGTTTAAAATTCTGTATCATTTGCTGCTTTTCGTCAAGTCTTTCAGTACTGCAGTACTTAGCGTTTTAATTATTTATAATGGCATGAAATCGTTCTGAAATAGACACTACAGTTTTGAAATTTCTGAAATTTATGGTGATTAACATCTTTTATATTTTCTACGGTTCGATCGCGTTCTCATGCTTCTTATACTTCTTAGGCAATCTAATGGTTTCGTGTGAAGATGTTACCATCGTCCATGTTAATATTTTCGACGTTAACAACAACATCGCCGGGGATGTTAGGACCGTCGAAGATGCTACCATCGGCGTCATCGAAGACGTTCAACCTTACTAATGGACACTCGTCACTTGAGCGATCTTGTTGACCCACTGAACTTTGACCGGCAATGTGATGATTTCGTGTGTCTGCCAAAGAATGTTTCAACTGCGGGTTATCTTCCGTTTGGCCTAGAATGAACATTTCTTAGATGTCACTGTATTGTGCCAAAGGAAGTGACTCACGGTCACAGATATTTCGTAACATATTTTCACGGGATTTCATTAGAGGTAGATAAATAAATGCTAAAAACCCTGCTGAATTTGCAAAACTGTGATGTTCTACGGGAATATTTATTTTGTCTTCTCAGTGATTGCTTAAAACTGAAGTTTTTACTCTTAGATTTGTGCTGACAGAATTTCTTGTGCTGGAAAAATAATGATGATTGGTGAAACTCTTTTCCACAATCGGGATGTTTGCATTGATAGCGAAATGGTTTAGGGTACGTTTTGAAATGTTCGTCATATTCCCTTTTGCCACGCATGGTCGCATTACAGTCAACATGTGGACACTCATGCATTTTCATATCTGAAAAACAACTGTTGTGACATTTGATTTGAACTGCCTTTTCTACCACTTTCATTTTAGTAAATAATTGATTCAATTTGGAGACTGATTATGAAGATATCAGAGCCAAACAAAACAAGTCTTACATATTCTAATTGATTTAGATAGAATACG